ATCCTCTTAGCTTATACCAGAACCCTCCTAGATTATAAACCTGAGTAGAGTGGAGCCAGGCAAGAATAAGAGACCAACCAAAGGACTTGTATGCATGCATATAAGCATAACCAATGGACATGAGACGCTGGCGGGTAGGAGAGGCCGGGGGAAGGTCAAGGGGTAAAAAAGGGAGACATATGTACTACTCTTTGTAATACTTTAAGCAATAAAACAGAATTTTAAAAAAGGAGGAAAAAAAGAATATGTTTAAGTGAAGGATGGACTGAGAGGGATGTAGCACAGGTCAGCATTTATGGAGGTGGGATGCACAGAAAGGTGAGGGTTTTAGTACATACAAGAACAAATACATATCTTTGTTAGACTCCTTAGATTTAGTTAACAATATTTAAAAAATACATCTGGCAACCCAGCACTTATTTATAAAGGTTATTTTCAAATAATCTTATAAATAAACAATGCAATTCAATTAAAAGAATAACATTAAGTGAATAATAGATCAGGTATGAAAGTATGGCAAAATGGTGAGTTCGGAAGCTGAATGACTGAAGAAAGGATGCATTTGCCTAGGACGCCTGGTACAGGCTGGGTGGCCTTAACCTCATCACCTCACTAGGTCTGTTTCCAGAGAAGAAAAGAAAAAGTACCTGCCTCACACCGATAATGTGAAACTCATTGCAACCACCAATGTAAAGCTCTCAGTGTAGTCATTCTTTTAGGAAAAATGATACCCTAGATTTGTAGGAGTTTTTTTTAAACAATCCATTTGAAGAATATTTAACAAAACTTTGTTGAATCTACTATGGGTAAGGCACCATAATTTCATTCCTTTGATGCTATTTTTCCTTCACAACCTCTGATGTGAGATAAGTAGGACTTTGCCAAGACAAGTCGGGGGAGGGGGAAGTCGGAGGAGGGGGGCAAGGTGAGATCAGAATCATCTGCCTCACTCCTTTACCCTCCGCAGAGATGCCTATAGTAACCATCTCCATGGTAACTGCACACAGCCAGCAGACTGGAGCACAGGCACCTGACTAGAAAGAGGTGGAAGGACACGGAAGGCAGGTGGAAAAGCATCTGGAAGAGAGAAGCTATATAGGAAAAGGAAAAGATAGTCTCTTTAATGCCCAGAATTACAGGAATAATGATAATAATTATTTTTATGCATGAAGCACCAAAGTCTTAAGTGCTGTATGCATGTAGGTACATATTATCATGTTTAATGCTCATCATAAGAATTATAGTGCCTGTGAGGGAAGAACTAGTATTTGTCCCACTTGACAGAGGAACACGTTGAGGCATAAAGAGGACGGGTGTTTTGCCCAAGGTCACAGGGCTGCTGCTACATATGAGCCAGGATTGGAAAGGGCTAACAGACCTTACCATTAAAAATGCATTTCTAAGAGCATGAGGATAGCAGTTGCTGGCAGGCTAGTTCTCCAACCTCCTCTCTGTGCCAGGGAAGGCGGAAAATGTGGCCACCTGGCATCTTGACAAGCCATTCATTGTCCAAGGTCCTGGTTCTTGGTCCTGGTTACATTGGGTTCACCTGGAGAGCTTCAAACAGATACCAGTGCCAGGACCCCAGGCCAGCCCAGGTATATCAGAATCTCTGTTGCGGGTTTGGGCAGGTATTGCTATTTTTTAAATGTTCTCTGGGTGATTATCATAGCCTTGAAAAAGAGCCACAGCCTAAAGCACCTGCTCCTGAATTGGTAAAATATGTCTAACATAAAAATACCCAATTATGCAACCCTTAGCTACTTGATACAGCCAGTTGGAAAGCTAGAATGTACTGAGCAGCCCCTATGTGTCAGGTCCTGGAAGTAGATTTGGTCTCTCATTATGCCCCCACCTGGTACCTCTGATGACTCCTGAAGGATGAGTGAGCATCTTGGAGGGGTCGGGATGGGCACCTGCCCCTTTCCCTCTCATGTATCCATTCCTAGGATGTGGATGTGCTGAGAACTTGAACTGCAGACAGGTCAGACCAGGGACAGTTTCTTGCCTTTTCAGGATGTGTGACCTTGAGCAAGTTAGTCAGTCTCCCCAAAGCTTGGTCTCTCCTCTGGTAAAATGGGAACGATGCTTGTAGACTGTGCATTCTATGCAGCTGTTTTGCCCCCAAAGGGGTGACATGGGTTCTTGGAGAGAGGCCCAATGGTACTTTTTGTGCGTGAGCAAAGTACAGGTACACATACAGTAAATAAACTGATATACAGTGACATTAAAGTAAACAGTTATCTGTGACAGTAAAATCTCATGAGAGTAGTGGCATTTAGGCAAAAATATCTAAAAAGACTTGGTGGGGGGGTAGATAATTTTTAAAAGTGGGAAATGCTGCTACAGATCAGAATTGCTATGAGGCTATAGGGAGAGCCTAAATGCACAGTTGTTGGCACAGAGACTGGTACTCAGACGCCACTCAAGAAATGGTAGATGTTACCTTTATTTTTCAAAACATTCATTCATTCAACATGCACACACTGATCCCAACTATGCTTCCGGACTGTGTGAAGCTTTATTTGAATCCAGAAGAAAGGTCAGCCACCACCCTGACTTTACCAATGAGCTAAGCCCACGCTAAGCATGGGAGGCTGTGCTTTCATGAATTGATGTATCCAGAAACTGGGGAACTACGGGGAGACCATGGCTAAGTCCTTCATTTCCTACTCATCTCTCCCACTGGGCTCAACCAAGACTAGGGAGACTAGGGGCCTTCATTCTGACACTGGCCTTGCCTCCAGCGTCTTCTGCTCCCAGAATGGAGAGGAACCCCGATCCACCACCACTAGAGTTATCAAGTTACATGGAATCGTTGCCGACAGTATCACTTATGGAAAAGCATTCTGTTCATTGCTGGAGATGTAGAGATGAATAAAAGAGTAAGAACCAACCTCTGCTTTTGGTTCTGGTGGGACAAACAGATATATAAAGTGGACATGTTGGTGTAACATGATGTGCAAGGCCCTGTGTGCAGGGAACTCTGGGAACACAAAGAGGGGTTTGGAGAGGTTGCTGAGCTGAATCTTAAAGAATGACTAACAGTTAATAGGGTGAAGAAGGTGGGGAGTACCTTCTACCAGAGGAGTCAATATGTTGTTGTAAAGATTAAATAGGGTAATCTGCTTAACACTGAGCCTGGCATGCAGGAAGTGCTAAATTTGTGTTAGCCATTATTATTATCAGCTAATATGATTATTACCACCATAAGAATGATTTTCCCAGGAAAGAAAAATCAGCTCTATTCATCAGAAAAGTATATGGTTTTAACAGTGTACTTGGACCCATGTAGATGTCCCATAAGCACACAGGAAAGTTCCTAGTAGCAATATTTGAGACTTAAACTGGATATAGGCCAAATGCCTGTCAGCAATAGGACAGATAAATAAACGCAGCATAGCCACATGCTAAAATACTATATAGTGATTAGGATAAACAGCTCTGCCTTGCAGCCACACGGTTGAATTTTACAAACATAATGCTGAGTGAAAGAATCCAGAACAAAAGAGCACAATCTGCATCATTCCATCTGTATGAGTGCAAATACAGGTCAAACTCTGACGTCAGAAGTCAGAGCACTACAGCCTCTGGGGAGGAGTGTAGGGATTTTACTCAGGAAGGGGGAGAGAAAGGACTGATTATATTTTGTGTCTAGGTCTAGGTGCTGGGTCCACGTGTGTGCCCATTTACTGAAAATTCGTTGAGATGTATGTTCTGATTTATGTACTTTTCTATGTCTATGCTGTGATTCAGTTTAAGGTTTATTAGACAAATCTGTTCAGCAGAGAGCTACGAAAACAGAAGTGGGGGGAGGAGGAATGCAAGTAGTACATGCAATTCTATGCTTCCACCCAAGGGCCTGGCAGCCTACTGAGGAAGGCAGACAGGCAAACTCGTACAATGGATTGTGATGCCTTTGGAAATAGAATCATGTACCAGCTACAGGCACACCATAGAGGAGAGCATGACCAGCTGTCACAGCTGCTGCTCCTGGCAATGCCCCTGTGCTCATGTGGTTCTCCCAGGAGGGCTGCTCTTCCCTGTTCCCTCTCACACATGACTTAGCGTTCAACTACAGGGATCTTGCTCACTCCCATCCAGCCACTGCCTACATCTGGGCCAGGCATCATTGGTACAACATTGAGTTAACTGGTTTTCTTAGCCTCTCCTCCCCTTCTTCAAACCACTCTCTAGAACCCAGAGCCACTAAATTAGCTTCCTTGGGTTGGGTCCTTGGGATTTCTAAGAAGCACCCATGGGATTCTAATGCATCCCAAACCATGGGAAGCACTGTCCTACACTGGAATCAGAACATGTACCTGACCTTGACTATGTCAACACTAAAAATAGTCTAAGGCACCCTAACTCAGTGGTGTTTCCCAATTTATCTTCAAAGGAACATTTTCAACCTCTTTTCCAACCTCTCCTTCATTATCCCCAAAATCGTTGTCTAATTTCAAATATACCTCAAAGTGCACCAAGTTAGTTCTCTTTCTCTGAGTCTGTTTTGTTATTTCACCACCACTATTCCCATGCCTTTGAATAACCTACCATGCCCTCCACTTCCTGGGGGCTTCTACTCTCTCACTCAGCTTCAAGGCCCAGCTCAAATATTGTCTCTATGAAGCTGTGCCTCAAGGCTCCTGAGCAACCTGGTTCTGCCACAGCACCTCAGACATTCCTAAACATCATTGTGCACTTCAGCCACTACATTCAAGGGCAGAAATGTGGTCCTGTTTATCTGTGTGTTTTCATTGATTAGCACCTGCCTTGGACATGGGAGGTTAGCAAGGATGGGTCTTGATGGAGTGAAGACCTTCAGCATGATCAAAATCACTGGGGTACAGAGGGGAAGCTGTGGGACAAGGGGCAGCATTTGTGGCTCTGGGATGGGTAATGATAATTCACATCTAATGGTCAGAGATATCTTTAGGAAAAAGCTGCCCAACCTACTCACGCTCTTTCTGTTTTGGTTTGTTTGGTTTTGTTTTCTCCAGTGAACTTCAGTGACTGCAAGGGAAATGACAAGCTACACTACGAGGTCTCAAGCCCATACTTCAAGGTGAACAATGAAGGTGGCTTAGTCGCCCTGAGGAACATAACTGCAGTGGGCAAGACTCTTTTCGTCCATGCCCGGACTCCCCATGCGGAAGACATGGCGGAACTCGTGATTGTCGGGGGGAAAGACATCCAGGGCTCCTTGCAGGTAAGTCAGATGTTTGGGATAACTTGGGTCCAAGGAGGAACTTGGGGTCTGTATGTCTTATGTGGAAAATGAGTATTTGGTTTATTATTGGCCAAGATTCTTTTGCTGTTACATATGACAGAAACCCAACTCAAAAATTGGTGGGAGGCTGTGGGGTTGGGGATTGTGGGCTCATGTAATTGTACTATTTCTGAGATAGCTCTGCCTTTAGGCATGGCTATGTACCAGTTCCCAAATGATAGCATCAGCGTTAGTTCTTATTTATCTTGTGGTTCCGTTTTCCTTCTGTTGGCTTCACTCTTAGACAGTCACATCCCTCCCTGCTTCCCAAGGTGGAAGTCTCGGTAGCTCCACATCTTTCTCCCAGTCTGAAGTCACCCGAGAGACCATCTCTTCCTGATACTGCCAACAAAAGCTTGAAATTGAATCTTATTGGTTCTCACTAGATCATGCATCTATCCCTGTAACAATCACTGTGTCCATTTGGTCGTGATTCTCTGGTTGGCTAAGTCTGGGTCACATGCTTTGTACTAAATCCAGAGTAGAATCAGCCTCACCTAAAATATATAGATTGAGAGTGAAAGAGGGTTACTTATTAAAGTAAATTAGGACCCTATTATCCAAGGAAGCAAAATGTTTGCTGGGCAGGCAAGAACCGCAGTGGTCCACTAGAGTTGTATAGCATGGTGGCCACTACTTAGGTCGCTGCTCCTTTGCCTGCACTGGTGCCCATTCTTGTCCAGATGCACAGGGGTGCTGATCTTGCACCTGCATACATGTACACATACTTTGGGAATGCCACAAACTGCCCTTGAGGCTTCCTGATTGTGTCATCCATTGCTACCATGGACTCACTTCTCCTTCACCAGGAGCTCAGAGACTCTGGCTTGATTATAGAAAAGGAAGACACCCAGTAAGACCCTGGAAAAAAAATATAAAAATCTAAGTGACTGGTCGACCATTCAACCAGTCAACTGTTTTGCTGGTTGCTATGACGTGCACTGACCACTAGAGGGAAGATGCTCAAGGCAGGAGCTGGCCCCTGATGGTCAGTGCACTCCCACAGCAGGAGTGCTGCTTAGCTGACCAATGGGTGCCAGATGAGCAGTGGTGGAAGGTGCAGCAGGACCGGAATGAGCGGGAGCAGTGCAGTGCCCAGCCCAGGCTCAGGCTCCTCCCTGGCTGCCTGCCGCTTTGCACACTACTACATCCCTTGGGGGATTTCGTTCTGTTGGTTTTGGCCCAATCCCCAGTGAGGGCGCAGGCCAGGCTGAGGGACCCCACTGGTGCACGAATCCGTGCACCGGGCCTCTAGTATCAGTGATAATGATGTGCCCTATGCTTGGTGCAGCTAGCCTTTTCTCCTACCTGCTGGCCTGGTTTTACCCAGGTTTTCAAAGCCTGTGATTCTCAGTGCCTTTTTCCATCTGCCACATTCTCCATTCCCTGAGTTTTTGCTAATTTTGTTGAGTGGTAGAGTGTGGGTGGAGGAGTAACAGATTCCACAGCTGGGGAGCAGACAGTACAATTGGAAGTATGAGTGTTGCTTACCTGCCAGTGCTGTCTGTGATTTTGAAAGAATCATGTAACTTCTTCATTTGCAGATTAGAGGGTTAAGCAGTCTGGGATGGCAAACCAGTGGCATGAGCATTGTCCGACTCTGTCACCACACCCATGGCAAATATTACTCATCACCCCTGCCGTGGCCTGAGAATCTTTCCTAATACAGTGCTTCTGGAAGCTGCCACCTATCCATCATTTAGAGATTTTCCTGGATACGGAATCTATTTGCCATCCCTGGGCTGGACAAACTCCATAATTCTACTTTATTTCTGTGAATCTATGAGTTAAGGGTAGATAGCCAGCTAAAATGAATCCACAGTGTGCCACTGATGTTTTCAAAGAAAGCAGAGTATTGGTGAACAGATACCATTGCGAAAACCCATTGGTACCACAAAAGCAAGCTTTCCTCTTACTTAGCCATGGTCATTTTCACAGCATCTCACTAACTCATGATATAAATGACAGAAAATACATAAAGCAACAAAATTGCCAGGATGTGCAGCACAACGTGCTTCTTGGGAACAAGTAAATGGTACAGAGATTCACAAAAGGGGGTTTGTATGTGGACGGACTGTATTTAGATGTAACACTGTTCATCATGATAGGTGGCTCATCTTTAAATCCGGAAAGGAAAATGTTTATGTATTTATTTTAAAGCAGAACAGAAGGGATTCTGGGCACTTCTGTGGGCAAACTCCACCTTGAGGGGTTGAGAGGTCAGGGTTCAATACCATGAAACTCCGCTTTGGAGACACTGATCTGGAGGGAAGCCCTCAGAGCCTGGCCGTTCCTCACCTGCTGCTGCCTGAGCACGTTATTGACCAAGCTCACTGTGGCCATTTGCTTCTATACAGCACAGCGGAGGCTGCTGTGCCATTCACTTTGCTCAACTCCAGCGGAACGGGATGTTCCTCTCCCGCCTCCAGTCATTTTACAAGGCTCGGAATAAGCCTGTGGGGCTGCCCAGATGTGTCCATAATAAAGTCCAAAAAAAAAAAGGTAGGAAAACAAAATTGCTATCTAAACAATCCCTATGAGAAGAGCACAGTCCTTCAGAGATATTCAGTTGGTATTTTTTTTAAAATATATTTTATTGATTTTTCACAGAGAGGAAGGGAGAGAGACAGAGAGAGTTAGGAACATCGATGAGAAAGAAACATCGATCAGCTGCCTCCTGCACATCCCCCACTGGGGATGTGCCCGCAACCCAGGTACATGCCCTTGACCGGAATCGAACCTGGGACCCCTCACCAAAAACTAGAGGGGGAAATCAGTGAGTATGCAAGTCAGCTCACTCCTAGAGGGAGAAGGAAAACGAGTATGTTGATTATGTATCACACAGTGAGTATGCTGTGTGCCTTCAGAGAGAGCAGAGAGCAGGGACACTGGGTGTTGATGACAGTGATGCTTTCACGGCATTCACTGTATTCACTGTGTGCCAGTGCTGCTTCATGGGCGATGAATGGGGACTCATTTAATCTCCCCACCAACCTATGAGGCATATGCCACTGCTCCCATTTTATATGTAGGGGAAATTGAGGCACTCAGAGGCCAGTGCAAACCTGTATTATTTAGTGAGATTCTCTTTTGTGTCTGCATCTCAATGTACATTTAACATGCCCTTTTTCTAACCTCATGAGCTCCCTGTGGGGCTGCTGTAGGTGTGGAAAATTGACCATGATCCCTTAGCTGGAAATGCACAGAAATGGGACTGAGATTCTGACTTTTCTGTTCAAACACCCATTTCCTTTCTGCCAGGTGTGTCAGGAGGCTGTGCCACCTGAGTGGCTGTGGCTACTGTCCATTGGTCAGGATGAGTTAGAGCAACATAGAAGGGACAGAGAAAAACAGCAAGTGAGAGCTATGGTTTGAAAGACGAAAGAGTCACAATTCCGCATCCTGGTTTTCTGTTCACACATTCATGGGTTATTTACACAAAGATCATATAACAGACTAAAGCAGCGGTTCTCAACCTGTGGGTCACGACCCCTTTGGGGGTTGAACGACCCTTTCATAGGGGTCGCCTAAATACATCCTGCGTATCAGATATTTACATTATGATTCAGAACAGTAGCAACATTACAGTTATGAAGTAGCAACGAAAATAATTTTATGGTTGGGGGTCACCACAACATGAGGAACTGTATTAAAGGGTCGCGGCATTAGGAAGGTTGAGAACCACTGCTCTAGAGAGATGATAAACAACTGAAGCAACTGAAGGCTAAGTGTCCTCGCTGAGGACAGAGATTGGGGGCAGGAGGAGAAAGTAGAGCATAAAAAAAAAAGAAAGAAAAAGAAAAGAAAAGATGTTCTCAGAGAGGGCAGTGGGGAATCCAGCATAAACAAACCGGGAGAGATGGGAGATATGTCACCACTGTGGTTAAATTCTTTAAGATAAATGCAACCCCAGCAAAGCACAGCTCAGCTCAGCTGCAGTAACTGGAACCCAGCTTGCTAATAAAAAGATGTGTCTCTTATTTTTACCTGCTACCTGTGACCTCGTTTCACCTGGAAAGTCTACAGTCTGAATCTGTGAAGTCTGATTGTTATTGGTTTAATTATAAACTCTCCAGCTCTTTCTACATTTTTAATGGGCTGCCCAGATACTAGTACCTGCCTGGGCTGTGTAAGATCACCTTAGATCTGAGTAGGTGGGGGAGCAGTTTAATCCTGGTCTTTTGACAGATGAGGAGGAATTGATATGGAGGGGCAGGGCTAGCCATGCGTGCACAGAGCAGTTTTCTAGCCTGAGGAGCGTAATGATGAACCCAACTCACATATGTCTGGACAGCACTGTGGCTTGTCTCCACCAAGTCTGCTGTCCCTCTGCCTGGCAGTGATGAGCAGGAAGACAACGGCGTGTTTAGTGGTGCATTTATTTATTTATAATTTCATTTATTTGTTTATATAGAGAGCTTCAGGTTGCATAGAAAAGCTCTGCTTCATTCCTGATAGTCCTTTGGTAGAGATGCCTTTATCTGCTGTGTGACTCACCAACATCATTTTTCAGCCTGCCCCCTCTCCCCACCCCCACCCCCAAAAAGCATAATGATTTAATTTTTTACATATACATGCATGTATATGTGTGTATATTTCTGAAAGAAACTATAGTTTCCATGACTGTAGATTATGGCAAGGAATTCTGACATCAGTTAAGGAACTCTGTGGAGTTAGGCTGGGAAGTAAGAACATCAGAGAGCTCATAGGAATTAAATTTAAATTCTAGTTTGGAAGCCAAAGAGACTGGACCTACTAGCTTCATCTTGAAGTGTGGGAGTCCACATCTGAGCAACTGTAGCATTTAGACCCCGGTGACCCAGCATCTGAGGCTCCTGAACAAAGCAGGCGACACACAATATAATAGAGGGAGAGCTGTGGGAACCCACAGGCTGTGCGCATGGATCTGGCTTCTGCTCCAGTGCAAGTCTGATCATACC